TGAGGTCCCTATTTACCACCTGATCAATTAGGGCGGGTCCTTTCTAAGTTTCTTTCTTTGCCCATTACTCCGTTGGGGGCTCCTTCCCCTTTTATCTGACCTTTCCCTAGGCACCATCTCTTCCCCCCATTTTCCAAGGTCATTCTCATATTCCATTACACAAACCTTATATTCTGTGACCCTCTTTTCATACTGGCGAGCTCTCTCATTGCAACTGGTTGGCCAGCATCCGTTGAATGTTGAACTAGAAGCTCCTCTTTTGTACCTAATGATGCAGCCACACTACTCATCGGAGCTGGTTAAAAGATCGCATATGATTCCCACGTGAACATAAACCCACCGGCTACTAGGCTGATTCTATGGACTATTCAAAATGGCGGCACTGATAAAGCCTTACTTGAAACACCTCATCTGTCCATGAGCCTTTCCAGGTTTTAAAATCTGTGTCCCATCACCCCCAGAGGCATCTTTGATAGGAACACAAGGGCTTTTTAGGTGACTATTCCCAATTTATGAAACGTTCTATCCAAAAAGCCATGCTAGTTCCCTTTTTGTGTGTGTGTGTGTCCTCTGATTACCTGTCATTCAATTTGGGGGCCTCTCTAATGTGCCGCTTCCTAGCTGAAAATGTTTTAACAGAGGATACAGCTTTTTTAAAAAAAACCTTATTGTTGTCCTTTGTTTTCACTGCATTTTCCTTGTACTGAGCACTCTTGCAAGAGAAAGATGGGAAATGCAATTAATTATAATCTGATTTTCCATTCATAATTACAATAGTTATATCTGATGCTATTCCTATAAAGATATTTTATGCATGATTTATAACTTGATTGTTTAAGTAAAGGAAGTGATCATTTGAGTAATAATTTCATCATGGAATACAAACATCTCAAGCAAATAAACTCACTAATAAAATTCCATAATACAGTTAACAGAGAATTACAGCAATACTTGAGAGTGAACTCTACTGAACTTAATGTTACTTTCTTCTGATTGTATGGCAGTCATTGAAATGTAGTCTTTGACTTTTAGGGTTTTTTTTCACACACAAAAAGTAGCTAAAATTTAAATTGCTAAAACAAAATACAAGTTTCCTCAAAGAAAAGCATCAAGCTTTTGCTTGATTTTTAAACAAATGTGGAACCCGACTCCTATACAATAGACCAGTGTTTCTCAACTTCAGTATCTTTAAGATGTACGGACTTCAACTGCTGTGGAATTCTGGGAGATGAAGTCCGCACATCTTAAAGTTGCTTGAGGTTGAGAAACAACACACTCACCTTCTCTTCCTACCTATCTGTTACTGTTACTTCTTTACTTGCCAGGATAAGGATATGACAAATACTCAGGGATCCAAAAATATCTGAATAGAGGAGGTGCAAAAAGTATGGACCTTATTTGCATTGTGGAAGTTTGAAGGAGATTAAGCACCCATTTCATCCCTTAAAAATCTTGAAACCTTTGTAAGAAATCTGCTTCTGCAACATATTCCTGGTTTTTCACGCATTATGGGTGTAATTTACTTAACTTAATGGTGCTCCTGTGAACTTTTTCTGGCTGTTGCAAACTTTTCTGCTGTTACACAAAGATTGAAAACACAGATGACAGCAAAGGTCTAATTTTTATTTTATTTTTTTCATAGGATTGTCACGCAATATCAAAATACTCTTGCTGGTCTGAGTAACTTCCTGTACATTTAAGAAAAAACCTTTTAAAAACCAGGCCCTTTAGCAATTACAGGCTGAAAGACAAACAAAACACCTGATATAGGGTGGATCCATTTTCAGAGAGGATCTCAAGGACACAAGTGTGTTCCAGTTTAAGCTCTATGGCCACGGAGCAACAGAGGTAAATCATGCATGTTTGCAACAAGAGATACACAAAATGTTTTGAATTTGACCCACTGCAAGTGTGCAATGGGTTGAACATTTTGCAAGAGGTTTTGAGCTGAATGCTTTGTCGGGGAAGGGAGAGGAAGGAGAATCTTCCTAGCATTCTGAGTGCTTCATTTTTGCTTCCTGCAGCTTTCAATACCCCAGATCCAACACCGAGAAGACAGGGAGTATTCAAACTATACATAAACTGGCAAGCAGGCACTCCCTTGAGGCAAGCTGTTCAAGATACCTCATGTAGATTTCAGGAGTGGTGAATCTAGAACACCATCACACCCTACAGGTGAGGGAACATTTTCTTCCATGGTCCTTGCCAAGAGAGAATCTTTAAGTATGATGGAGTTGTTAAAGAAAATCCATCTTGGTAAGAACTGCGTACTCAGTGGCACATGCAAGGGTGATCTGGGGACCCAAGCCACTACTGCAGTAAGAGAGATAACACAGTAGAGGGAAAAAAAATTAATTATTTTCCTGCCTGTTCCTTTCCCTTCAAACCCCCCTTTTTTCCAGCTGGTTTTTTCACTTGAGGTGGCAAGGACATGGAAGCCTTGACTGGGAGAAAAGTAACTGGGGGAGGAAAATTGCAGAAAGGAAATAGTGGGGGGGGGGAGGGCTAAGTGCTCCCCTCCCCGCTTATCCTCTTTGCAGGGAAACAGAAGCAACCAGTCTTTTGAGATCCTGTCTCTGCCAAACATTGACTATATAGTTTTGGTCTCAGCAAGTCAAACTCTCAAAGCGGACACACGCTCTCTCGCGCTCTCTCATCAAAAGGCACTCTTCTGTTACGGCAATTGTCCTGCTCCAGTAGGAGCTTACTCGAGATCAGAATTGTGAGTGTGCCAGTGAATATTGTGGCCAACAGACAAAGGAAAGGGGAAGCGGAAATCTGCACACCACCAATGATAGCTAGCAACAACTGGAACAGAACTTAACAAGGAGAGGAGCACAATACAAATTCAAGTGGCAAGAAGAAATACAGGGTGCTACATCTACCATCAGGGGGAAACAGCTTGTGCTTATTGTGTCTATTCCAGTGCTTCTCAACCTCGGCAACTTGAAGATGGGTGGACTTCAACTCCCAGAATTCCACAGTCAGCATCTGGCTGGGGAATTCTGGGAGTTGAAGTCCACACATTTTCAAGTTGCCCAGGTTGAGAAATACTGGTCTATTCTAAGACCACCCTTACCCCATCCTGGTGGCCTTGGATTGTAGGAACTCCAACTCTCAGAATTCCTGTTGCCTGAGAAACCCTGGAATGGGAATCTCAGCACACCTGGAGGAACCATCCTGGAAAAAACTGTTCTAAACAGAACTCTCTGGCATCATCGGCTTCAACTGGTCTTCAATAATGGGATAATGTTTTAAGGTACTGAAATCTTTCTGGAAGGCCCTTGCTCACTAATGTCGTGTGAAGTCATACAATATGAAAAGTTTTGCTTTGCACTAAGGTGGTGGTGGGAAATGCTACTGCAACACGGAGCTGGATCTGTTTTTCATAACTAAGAGTATTGGATCAAAACCTAAAGAATCCATACAGCAGATTTTGCTTAAGATCCAATTAAAATGTTCTAGAAAGAACATCTGATGTGATCCTATTGAATATGTCTCCTTATTTCAACATGATGAGACTGAATGAATACTCTTGCGTATTAAAAAAGCTCTTCTGTATGCCTCAGGAAGACTACAACATGCCTTCTCCTTGTGATCACAGTCAGACAACTGTTGACAGTAAGTGGAATGCGTGCAAATAATCTCATCATCATTATCTGCATCTTGAATTGACACATGCTTTCTCCTGAATATTTTAGATATTTATGAGGCCACAGGGAAAGAAACAAAAGTTGGGCATAGTCTCACTCTTCATCAGTCAGAGTAGAGGTAGGTTCTTTTAAAAAAGAAGCAGAGTTAGAAGTTTCCCAGATCATGCCCCTCCCTCTTTATGGGTAAGGGAGTGAACTTTATTAGTCCTTGTGAGCATCACAGCAAAAAGAAGGCCCAGTGCCTTGGCTATCTTGCCAGAATTATTAAACTACTGTCCTGTGAAGCTACAGTAAGATTAATTCAAGAAATATTTGGTCCAAGAAATATGAGTGTGCTGAACACTGTTGTATGTAACCTCTTTGGCAAGAGATGTCTTAAAGCTAAGATGCCTTAAAGCTCACACTCAAAGGACATTGAGCCAAGACCTAAAAACTGTATTTAGTAAATGACCATATTCATAGAAGGCAAAACTTAAAATCAACTAAAGCAATATGCTTCAGTGTGGTTTTCTTACTCCAGACCATTATTTTATAACTGGCTCTAGTTCTGTGGATCTTGGAGGGTCTACTAAAAGAGAGAGAGAGAGAGAGAGAGAGAGAGAGAGAGACACCAGAGTAGATCTTGTAAGCTTAGGGTCTGCCCACACGTGATTTAGATGCCTTCCAATATCTCAAGATACTTGAGTAACAATCTATTTTGATACAGTAGATTATTAAAGCTTATTCAGACAATCAGGTATCCTTTCTAGTGCATTTGATCTTTGTGGTATGTTTCAAGGTTGTGTGAATGATATTCAGGGGAGGATGAGATTTCAAAGCCAATGCCTCCAAGAACAAGCTAAGACAATGACGTGATTGTAGAAGCTATAAAGAACTGTCTTTTCTAAAGGATTTCAGACATGGTTGGACTGTGCCATAATCAGGTATCTGGCAACTCTCCAAAACCTAGCTTGTTCAAAATGCTGCAGAGGGCTAAGTCATCAACCAACAGAACCCTCATTCTGCATTCAAAGAACTCACTTCACAGAACTTTCCATGGCTTGGCAGTGGTAGAAGTCACTTAATAGTGAGAGGAAAAAAATCCTCTAGGCATCAGAGAAATCAGACCCAATTTTTCCCATTTTAAAAAATCATCATCTATGAGATGTCGTTCTAGACACTAATTAAAACTTGAGATTCTTTGAAGTTCTATGAATCAGGACAAATGTTCTAAAGGGGAAAAAAATCAAGAGATGGCAAAATATATATCCACCTGTCTTATGAAAAATAAATC